TCTCATTACAAAATATGGTACTTTTAAAATCAACTTCTTTTTCCCACTTTGGAGGTAATTTAAGAAGTGTCCACATACTTAATGTGTTGAATCTACTTAGATTAAAATTTGCCAGTAAATTGATAACACTTTTAAAATATTCATTTGTTGGAAATCTGATTGGTGGGCTTGTGACAGTGAGACATGTATTGACCACAGGATCTTCTTGAATTAGAGTCATAATTAAAGAATTATAAGAATACATAGGATAAATTTACAACCTAATTATACTTTAGTATTTTGGAAGGAACGTCATGATTTCAAGAGAGACTATGGCTAACTAATGGAAAAAAATGCTAGGAGACAGATGCCAATTTGTTCTTTGACTGGTTTAATAAATTTAACATCATATGAAAAATAATTATTTCTTTGAATTTCATTTTTATGATGTGAGACACTGTCTGAGTGTATATAAATGGACTCTTTATAGCCAGACTGTTTTCACAAAGACTTGAGCAACTGATTTTGAAAAGTTTGGAACTCCAATTAGAACCCTCAGCTTTGCACAAGATGGAGAAATAAAAGCAGAAGATAATGAAAGAAAACAAAACAGTTCTGAAGCAAATTTAACTTTAGTTTTAGGGGGAAAAAAAAGCAAAGCACTTAAAACTTCAACAAGTTGTATCTTTTATTAGGTAGCACTGTCATCCAGTAAGCCGTACTTTAAAAGGAGATTACCCCAGGTTTTCAATGTTACTCAGAAAATCTTGTCTCTGCTGAGTTCAGCATGTGCTCTCTGGAACATCCTACACTTTTTTGTTTTTCTTTCTGATCAAGGCAAACCCAAAGCCCTTGCTCCTAAGTGTGATGCTCGTTAAGATTTGAAGCACATAGAAATGGTATCCTTGCAGTCATGTTAAACAGAGCCTTCATGGCCCCATCTCCTTGAGTGGATTCAGGCAGACATGAGCTCACTTTATCTGTGCTCCAGGCTGGTTGGACATGGTCCAGCATTGGTTTGAAAGCCACACAAGCACATAAGCTTCTCAGCAAGGCAAGTCAACTTGGGCATACATAAGTACAGCTTCATGGGTTCTGAATCAGACCTACTCAGAGCAAATGAACTTGGACCTGCTTGCACCCATCCATGCAGACCTGTGAGTCACCTTTTCTTGTAAACTGTTTCATCTTCCACTCCCTCCGAAACTACAAAAGACTATCTCAGTTTTTGTGCTCTGTGCTCTGCCTTTTGACTTCTCTTTGCATAAATGCACAATGAAATATAAAGAAATCATTTACAACTCTCAGCTTTGCAGGACCAACTTGGCACCAAAAGGGAAATTGAAAGACAGACTGAAAAGCAGCTGTTAAACTAAGCCTGAACTAATACCTGAAACGGTATTTGTAGACACAAGCCTAATTCAAATCTCAACATGTAATTGTATGGTTTTTTACATATTTTTACCTCCTTTTTTCAGCTCATTCTAAAATAATGCAATATATATATGCATGCATGCGTATAGAGAAGTTCACCCATGTGGGAGTGAGGCATCTATTCACTGGTCTCCTGCATGTGCTTATGGGGTGAGCGTCACTGATAATAATAACTTGTCTTCCTCCATTAAGGTGCACTTCCACTGTAAATCACACTGCTACTCTTATCTAGAGAAACAACTGCCCAAAGGCAGAATAAGAATCCACTCAGAATAAGAATCACATCACAGAAGAAAGAATATAATAGTTCTTCAGGGTATAAACCACCAAGGGAGGATAGATGCCAGTCGACTGGAAAACCTAACATAGAAAAAGAGAAAAGAAGATGGAAGGATAACTGTAGTACTTTGCAGATCTGGGCACTTCTGAGAGATGCCATTTTGCTGTACGTGAAAGATTCATTATACCCTCATCACAGCTTGAACCCAGGGTTGCAACTAGCATATCCCTTGATCTTAAAATACTTTTTCTACGTGAGATGCCAATACATTGCTGTGGTGGCAGGGGGAGAGAGAAGCAGATAAAAGAAATTCTTCTACAACAAACCAACACCAAAGACTTCTTATATAAAGCTTTTTCAGCTCCTAGTGCTACCCAAGTGCCTCTGGCCATCAAGCAGCAGAAAGCTCTTGGCTTTTCAAAAACAGCAACATCACCCAGATTTCATGCCTGGGAAAGTCATGACCTTCAAATCCAGGCTCTGTGGCAAAAGTCCGACTGATAAAACATCCAGAGACTGCAAACACTGGTTAAATATAGCCAAGGGCAGGGCAGCATCACAGAGTGGCTCAGTTTGCACAGTTAGATGGGTCATTCAAGCATGTGCTGAGTATAGCTTAATGCAGAAAAAAACATCTCAGAGCAAAGGACATAAGTTGACTAGAGTACTCCAACCTACTTTTTGGAAGGTGCTGACTTGGAAAGGGAGGTGAGGGTGAGAATAAACTGAAAGGGAGCTCTCCCATGGCTCCCAAACAGAGAGTTAACCAAATGCACAATAAGTGTTGTTGGTGCATATCCGTTGGAGAGGAGTGCTAATAGGTGGCTCACTGCCTCGGGTAAATCACAGCAAATGAGTGCTGACAGGTGGAATTCTGGTTCCCGTTCTCAGCACAGGAATAACATCATTAGCAACCTCAGAAACAGAGACTCCAGCCATGACAGATTTAATCTTAGGGCTCTGCTTAACAAGGTGTGTTGAAATAATTGACATTTACTGCACGTTACATAGAGTTCCTCTTTTTATTATGACATTGGTAAGAAACTGGCTGGAGTAGCTTTTCTTTTAAGAACAGATTTACAGAATTATGATAAAAAACACACCATGAAACACTGAATGTGAGAGTTGGTACAGCCAGTGTGTATTGCTATATGGATGTACAGATACAGGGAACTCAGTGTATTTTGTGAAAATATGTCTGGCGTAGAAGAGTTTGCTAAAGAGAAAGGACAGTGAGTGAGCTTTCAAAATCCTTTTGTTTCCAAAGTGCTGGTAAATGGAAAAATCCTTAACTGAACAAACATTCTGAGAAATCTACTGCTAACAACTGCTCAGTCAATATGACAGTAAGGAGCATGGATGCTACCTAAAAAGAGGATGTGGCCTCTGCAGATAAGCTGTTTTGATACCCTGCAACTCACTGTTGCATTCATTCTTGCCTCTTGTTTGAGGTTTGTGTTATAAGCATTTTTAGTGGGAGTCAGAGTTTGCACTGCTTTATCTATCTATCTATCTATCTATCTATCTATCTATCTATCTATCTATCTATTTATTTATTTATATTCAGGGACAAACAAATATAGGGCTCTTATCTCCCACTGCTACTGTAAAGAAGAGACATCAAGAAATATCAAAGGCTGTTTAGGACCCACTTTCTATACTTATGAGTGACTGAGCAAACACATCAATATTTGTACTGCTCTACGTCTTTTTCATGAGATTTTAAGATTGTCCTACCAGATAAAAATCAAACAGAACAGAAACTTACCTTTTACTACCTTTAGATTTGACTTTGTTCTGTTGATCTTGGTTGGGTGACAAGGTGAAAGAAAGGCAGAGTGGCATAGTATCAGGAAAAAAAACTGTTAACATCCTCTGAAATCCAGAGTAGGTGTGCCAATGATGAATGCTATTTTATAGTTCTCTTTTATCACATACATCAAACACCCATCGGTGCACTGTGTGAGCAACTGACATAAACTCAATGCCTAATACTAACAACAACAAATAGCGTCTGAAGAGTTTCAGTTGTGCAGCTGGGATTCTTTTAACTGAAGTATTCAAACACAACAAGGTAGGTTATTATACTTTAAGCAGTACAATCGCTAGACAATCTTTTTAAAAGGAAAATAGGCTGGATGGAAATACCAAGGACTTATGTGCTGACGTTTTAAAAACACTTTATCTGCATCGAGTTACAGCACCTCTGATTGCTAGTTAGGCACCATCCCTTCTTTTATGGCTTGCTTTGTTCTCAATGGTTTTTGCTGTTTGTCTTCCTGTAACAACAAAGGTTAAGCAAATGATCCCCAAAAAGCAATGGTTAGGCTATAAAGGTCCTGTATTGCCAGCTTCATCTTTATACTGATCTGAGCTTATCTATTCCCAGGGATGGGGACAATCAGGTACAAAAACTGCCATTGCTTTGCCATATTGAACTGAAATAGAACATGGGGAGTCTCTGTGTTCCTCCACTCCAACCTCATGTGGGATCACCGTTCTCTGCCTCCACTCTCTCTGGTTTTGGCCAATGCTCACTGGCATCTCTTCACTGACAAAGGCCTCCTGGACTCCCTATGCCATGTCATATCCTAACTAATGTGCAGTGTGCAATGCACACCTCCCAAGACTGGCAGGCATAGTTTGGGTATTTGCTCTGAATGACCTCCCACATAGTAAAGGCCATTCATTTTCACCCAGTCGCAAGATATAAAGTGAAATAAATGCAACTCATCCTAGCTGACTGTGGACAGATATGTGTAATACATATCATGGGTGTTATTTCATCAGCACAACGTGTTAAGTGCTGGAGCCTATTCCAGAGCCTGTGAAAGTTAACAGGACTCTTTCCAGTGTCAGATTGCTTGTTTAACAATGGCTTTCAACAGTAGATTAATGAGATTAAAACAAAAAGAAATATGACTAATTATTTATATACAGTGCTGCTGTTTCAAAGGATCTCAATCAGTATATTTTAATTTAAATAACAGACATTCCTTTGATGTTTAACTGAAGAATAGAAGAAAAATCTATGACTTGGCAGAAAATTAAGAAATGGGCAAATATTTTTTTGGCAGTAAATGCATTTTCCTTTGGGAAGGTTTAGAAACAAAGACTCTTGGCCAAGTGTACTTTCTGCACCAGTTAAATTCCACATGTTAAATAGAGCATAAGTGGATGTCAGCATAGACGATAGTTGTGTCCTTCCTGAACTGCAAGGTGTTGCTGCTCTGTGTGCCGTGTTTATGAAATAAAAGGCAGAAATTTAACAGTGCTGTTCAATCATTAATTTTTTCGATACTTCATTCTTACTTTGACTCTAAGACCAGAGACATTCTCCTCTCCTTTCTAGTGGAAATGGTAAGTTATTGACATTTTGTACACATTTGTAATAAATAGGCATTGCCAGTTCTGTGTGGCAGAGGGCTGTTAACAGGCTATCTTCCTACTTATTAAAATATTCCAGTCAAAAAGTGAAGTTATTAGAGTCATTACAATTTTTCTAACTCCGGAGCTGGCACCATTTCTCAGAACAAAGCACCTATATCTCTCTCTGTCTTTCTATTTCTATTGACTAGGGTTTGACACCCTAATCTTTACGTCCAGCTACAGGTTAAAGCCATCTGCACTTCCTCAAACTCTTTGCTGAAATTGTGGCTTTTTGAGCCATTCTAGTGCTAACTTCCCTTCTGATGTCTTTTTGCTCAAACATGATGCTTCTGGTAGCAAAGGGGTTTGGGACAAAAAGGTATTACTTTCAAGGGCAAGATGAGCCAGGCTTCTCCTAAAAGTAGTTGGCTCATTAAAACTTCGCAACACTGAAAAGACAGGAACAGAGCAGGGATTTCTCAGTCCCAGTGACCACTTGTGATCATGGATATGCAGCTGAGTGATGGAAAGGTTCCCCAGGACTGAACCTGTCAGCAAACCTAATCTAGCCCCTTTAGGACTTAAGGACCAACATGACTTAAACTGCCTATTTTCTGCCTTGGTGCAAGTTACTTAGATGACTAAATAAGTGTTTGCAGCCAGATAACCTCAGTATTTGAGATACTAGAGGTATTTCCTACAGTAAATATAGGGAAGTGCTGAACAAGGGCATACTGAAGATACTGAGGAAACCCTATCTATTTATCTTAAGTTCAAACGCCTGAACAAAACCATTCTGCTTAAGTCACTTCCGCTCGGCACTTTCCTTTAAAGATAGGGCATAATTGTTTCTCCAAAAGAATTGTGCTACCCTCACATCACTTTTACAATCAAACACTTTTACTGCTCTCTTGGGCATTTTTTCCTCTCTTTCTCTTAGATCCGTTCGCCCTTTCCCTTATCACAGCCAGGGGACAGATCTGACTCGCTTCCTGCCCATGCAGTAGGCTCTGGATATTCCTCAGAACCTGGGCCACGGCTCTGACTGCAGAGCTGTTTCTCCTCCTCATCCTGACTGCTAAGCAGCCACAGATTCACCTCCCTGGCTGGAGTGTTCCCACACCACTCCTGCTAGGCCTCCTGAGAGGGCAGCTCTGCCTCTCCTTACAGACTTTGTTACAGAGGACCATTCCTAATTAAAAGAAGCTGTTCCTTCCAGAGGATACAGGCTGGCAAGGACACAAACATAACGCTTGACATGTCTCTTGGTACATCACGTTTAGTAGCACTGAACTGTGACCCCTGACATGTCACCTTTGCCCCAGAGCCTCCCTGCAAGCTGCCCTGGGCTGACAGACTCCCTCCAGCCTGCTCTCCTGGAGGACACCCCCTGTCCAGAAAATCACAAAGGGCAGGCTGAACGTGCAGCCAAAGGCAGAGCATGCCTTTGGCTGCCAGCCCCTGTAATTCAGCCTCTGCCTTGGGGAGGGTCAGCCAGAAGCTGAGAGACAAGGGGCTGGTGGCACGATGCCTGCTGCCTCCCCTGCTTCTTGCCCTCAGCGACATGTGGCTGTTTGATCAGCTGGTAATTGCATTACCACCCATCAGGGGAGCTGGACACCCATGAGGCCCTTTATTTTCCCTGCTGTTGTATCGACCCGCTGAACTGCTTCAGCCTTTTGGGATGCCTGCTTGTTATGGGGTTTGAGAAAAAGAGATCAGGATATTTGAAGGGTGGTTAACAGGGCAGCCTGGAGGCAAAAAGCAGCAGGGCTATGCCTGTGCAGTGCTAGTGACAGGGGCTGGTCTCAGCTAAAAGAGCACTCATAACCACAGTGCCAGCTAGGCACTGCAAACTTGTGTTACCAGTGAGAAAAGAAATTGTTTTATTGGCGAAGCGGCACAAGATACTGAATTATCTGCTGGCAGACATTATAAATTTAGAAATGTTCTGTCTCAAATAAAATAAGTCTTGGAAATCCCTGAAACTAGATGGCATCTTCTGCTTGAACAGGAGAAAGTGCATTAAACAGCAGTTCCAGCTTTACTCTTGACTCACAGTCACAGTACAACAAAATGACAACACTATTTTGTTGCCTTTAAATTGATTTCATTGATTCTGGCAGGTGCCCTCTATCTCTCCCCTAGCCTGTATAAGTGTGCAGCAGGGGCCATTATACCCACTACTGCCATTACACTCGGCCCTACGACAGTGAATTTGGCCTCAGAAGTTTTGTCTGCTGGCTAATCTTGTCTCTTTTTCACATATGGGAAACACTGAGTACCTCCTAAGCACTGTCATGGCACAAATTATGGTTATGACAACAAGAAGTAAGAGTGCTGCACTGAAGACCCATGACACTTCACAGAATCACAGAATCACAGAATGGCCAGGGTTGGAAAGGACCTCAAGGATCATGAATCTTCAACTCCCCTAACACATGCAGGGCCACCAACCTTCACATTTAATACTAGACCAGGCTGCCCAGGGCCCCATCCAATCCACTTCATCCACCCCAACCACTTCATTCACAAATACCACTTTTCATTGACTATGACTCCGATTCCTGTTCAGCAGAAGGGCTGATAATCAGGCTTAGATGGCATCAGCTGTTCCTCTGAATGCCATCTTCAGCTGAGGACTCCCTCATCTACACCACTCTCTGCACTGTCCCAGAAGAAGTATTGCTGCAGCTTTGCACTAAATTTGACAGAGAATGGGCACAATGTACAGCCAAACCTGGCCTTCAAGACCTCTGCTCAACTGCTGTTTAGATCTGGAAGCCTCTGAGATGCCTGGCTGCCAAGCTAGATTGCCAGGGGATTTACCCTGAATAGTTTTTAGCAAGCCTAGATATTTTGGCTGGGAATCAACTCCGTTGTCTCTCTGGATGTGACCCCCTTCACACAAGAAGGTACATTGAAGATGGAAACATTTTTACCAAAAGCTGGACAAGCATGATTGCAAAGCATAAAGTAAAACAGCTTTCTCTGTACATGAAGCTGATGGGTTTGTTAATCCTTGGGATTACTCCCCAACAGAGCATGGCAGAATCCACAATGGGCAGTCATCCATGGAGCAGCATTTCAGGAGAGTGGAGATTAGGACAGCTTTGGCCATCTTCAGCAGCCAGCTGCGTGGTGAGGGGGCATTCAACCTTGGCACTGCAGTCCTTATTAGAGATTTGTCAGTCCATTTCAAATACAGCAGTGCTTATATCTGTACTAAGGAGAAGCTCTCCAGCATTTTCTTATTGGTTTATGGGAGGACAGGCAGATAACTACGGTAGTTAACTGCTTTTATTGAGAGAAAGGAAAAGAGTGTGCTTCTTTGTGACTAAAATGTATGGCGTGGAAAGAAACAGATAAGTAAAAATGTCTTTGTAATGTGGAAGATGCTAATAAGTCTATGTTAGGACTTCAGGATCTTGTCTAAGCAATTGTACATTAGGTTCTGTATATCACAGCATATTTCTTTTTTATCACACTACTCAATAACACAGAAATAGGCAGCAGAGTGAGGACACCTATTGTCTTTGGCCAGTGATAACTGGCTGTGCCACAGCTCATGTATTCTGTGATGGATGTTAGTAGCAAGAAAGGTGAAAAGGAGTTCAGAAACGGCGAATGACTTAAAGAGCACAGTTCTGGAGATAACTCAATGAAGTGAAATTAAAACATCTGAAAGGACTGAAGGCAACTCATGAAAAGCAATGATAGGAGTTAAATGTGTTTAGCATGGTTAAATGAGAAAGAAAGAGGATAATAAAACTCTCATTATTTTCAGAGCATAAAACAGCCAAGAGAATAGAGCAAAGCTAGATGCATTGGTCTGAAAAAGAAAAAAAGAAAACTTTGGTTCAGTGTCAGCAGGAAAAATCCTGAAGGGTGAGATCTGTTAGACTGTGGAGTAGCCTCCTGAGGGAAATGTGGGAAGTCCATTGCCCATTCACTTTAAATAGTCTGGACAATGTGATGAAAAGTGCACACTAGGGAAAAATAGTCTTGCCTCAGCAAAAAGAAAAAAACAATAACAATGAAAATCTTCACTGAGATCTCTATATCTGTAGTGGTTCTCTCTAATCAAGTTCACTTTTAAGTGAATGAAGAGTGGCCTGCTGACCTTTCCCAGGTTATTTTTTATTAATTATCTGTAGCAAAGCTGGAAATCAAGTGTAAAGAGTTCAGGCAATGAGTGCACAATAGCAAAGCGTTCAAAGCAATAGCAATAAATAACATACTTCATCAACATAGTTCTAAAGCACACAAATACAGGAAATGTTAATATACACTTCACATTATTCATCTTCTCTTTGTGTTGCATGACCATCAGTATAGTTATACACGGCCTCAGTGTTATACAACTACTGCCCATGATTTTGTCCTGTTGCTCTATCATCTCAGCATTTCTTCTGGACATTGTGAAGTTACTTCCCCACAGTCACTTCTCCAAAGTTGTCAGTTCAGTAGATGATTTAAGCACCTCTCTGAGACCAAGTTAAACTCTGGGATCTCTTATATAGACAAGGGTCTATCCAAGCTGAGAAGCTCCTTCCAAGAGTAAAAGAAAAACCTGGGTACTGTCTAAACCTTTTGAATATTTGAACTATTCTGTCTCCCAGAATATATTTTAAAGTTATTTGTACCATTAATAATAACCCTTTAAAAAAAGCATCAGTAAGACCTCTTTTTTTTTTTTTTAACCTTGAGTTTGAGAGTGCTAGATCCAAACTCAGAAATTTTCCTTTTTATATTTTTAAGCATTATGTGTATTCCTTTAATATTCATTGAGTTTTAATGACTTTTCATGATGGAACATCTCACTTAAATAATCTTTGGCATAACTTTCTGGGAAATCAGGATTTGAATAGATTCATATGTGCCCAGGTTATTGCAAGGTACAGTATATTGAGCATCTTTATTAATACTATGATCTTGGAAACACTGAATGAGTGCACTCAAGTCGTGTTAGAAAAGTGGGATGAAAAGTTCTTACGTATCAAACATATTAATCATGGATAGTATTTTCTGTAGTTCTCTGATCTATTGCGATTAGGAGAAAAATATAATTTGAACCTTCCCATTCTGTTTCCAAGGCCCAGGGTCATGAGGAGTCCTTCCAGATTAGAAGATTGGAAGATAAGCTAAACCAGTAGTCAGAAACAATCTTTCTGATTAGGTTTGTTGCACTTGCTTAAAAAGTTCAGCAAAATATAGTAGCTTTCTCCTAGCCCAGAGTTTCTTTCCCTCTTTGCAACCTTGCAGGTATAACATGGAAATGAATCAATAACCAACTGAGGGAAGAAAAAATTCTTGTGATGAGCGGCCTGAATTTAAGCCTTTTCTGTCTTCTGCAGGCAAAATCCAGGGCAAAATTTATTCATCTTTAGCAGAGATGAAGTTCTCAAGGCAGTGCCTAATCCCATCTTCTGCAGAGGCACAGCTGGCACCAGAACTGCAAACGAGGAGTGATGATGGCTCTAGCACAGGCTTACCTCTGGGATCAGCAGTGTGTACGTTACTGCAGATCTGGGAAACAAATTCACTTTTACGGGTTTCATAACTTCTTATAGAAACACTTACTTCCAAGTTCTTTTCTATGTTACACAAATTTTGTATTTTCTCATCCTTCGACATTTTAAGGTACAAAGTGATGCTTTGCTGGTGTTTTCAGTTGTCCTATGGAGGAAGGAAAAAACCTGAGTGCTCACAACACTCCAGTGGCTTTGCTTGTGCTTCATCTGTGCATTGATGCCCAAAGTTGTCTTTTCAGTGGTTACCCATCACAGTACTTATAATACCGAGAGCTAACAATAGTCTCCAGCAGTATCATTTTGCTATTGTCAGCTTGTGATTTTTTTCAGACTTAATAAGGTACATAAGGTCAAGGAGAATGGAAAGTCTATAGGGAAAGTCAGACAATATCCTAGGCTGCCTTGGATAAGTAAAGGTTCTGATCTTTTAACTGAGAGCTAAGCAGAACGGAACAGAAAATGATATACAGGAAGAATGTCATGAGGTAATGTGACATATGGCTTTGAGGGGATTTTAAACAGAGGAAAATATTTTGTCAACCCAAGACATTCAGTTTGACCAAGATTTTCAGACTATTGAACCGTGTCATTTGTCTTCCTCTATCACTCAATGATTCTTGGTCAAGCTTAGCTAAAAAATACACTTTCAAAATTAAAATTCAAACAATAATTGTTAAAATATTGATTAAAGCTGTTTAAATATTTTTAAATACAAACTCCCTTTTCAAATAAAGATGTCGACATTTTAAAGAAAAAGCATTACCTTTTTTAGCAGCATTTAAAACCAATTCACCAAATAGCATTTTTTCCCTCACAGTAAAATTCCACGTTCATGAAAACTCACTTCCACAAAACATAAGGAAAATATTGCTGTTCTAATCGCAAACGTGGGAGTGGAACATTCTCCTCTGGATCTTCACAAAACACTGCCTTGGCACTGGAAGATGGGATGCAGCAATGTTGTAAATGTTGTGCTGAAATGTACGGGCATATGTTTCTAGACCTCTCTGAAATGCACAGGAGCCTTAATAAACAGCTGGAACAGGGATTTTTTTGTCTCCAGCCTGCTTGCCAGGAAAACCAGACAGATGCCAAACAGGACCTTCTGATCCTTACAACCACTCAGGGAAATGTAAGCACACCTTAGGAGGTGCCTTGTGAAGTAAACTGCATTCAGAGGGCTCCAGCACAAACCCCAGGATAAGGGACACTTAGGAGAAAGTCTAAGCCTTGATTCAACCATGCCTACAAAACTTTTGAAGCTGTGACTACTGTAGCTACTGTAGAAACACTTCAGGTTCCAGCAGTAAAAAGAGTGATGAGCCAGAGCTGAAGAAACAGCCCAAACAAAGGGATGCATCAACTCTATAGTCCATGAACCAAGTTTCTGTCCAGAGAAAGCTCTTAGGGTCCATTTACAGATCTTTTTCTGGTTGTGATCATAATTTTCACCCTGCAATCTATTGATCTGTAGGTGATGGGTGATTAGGCTCCAGTGATTTCGCCTGCAAAATATTTTTTTCACTGTAATAGAGAAGGTGCTAAATAGACTCCAGATCATGCAAATCCATCTAATGTTCACAGTAATGAATTACTCTGATCTAAAACTTAGGAGGCTACCTAATGAACACAGCAGTCATAGCATGTATCTGCCCTGGTGTTGCTACACAGTTTTACCTGTCTAGGAACACTATACTGTGTCAGGGAAGTAAGTCATTAAATACAGATAATAATATTATCACTATTTCACCTCCTTTATCCAACTCCTCAGTGACTACTGCTGACAAATAATCCATTCAGTGCTGCTTGCTCTTTAAATCTGTGCTGTAATGTTTGCTGAATACATACAAATCTACTTTAAGTACTTTAAGGGAGACAGGATGAGATGTAAAAAGAAATTCCACAATATTTAGGTATTGGCTTAAAAATATCCAGTATGCTTTTCATGCACACAGTTACCATACACATTTAAAGTAAAGATCCATGCTACATGTTTAGGTAAGTCATTATTTTAGTATCAGTTGGACTGCATGCAGGGAACAAGCCAGTTGGGCTGGCAGAGCAGCAAATTTGGGTTCACACAGCTCAGCTGAATGCACTTGATTGATTCTTTTCTCTGGATTGTTTTACTCATCCACTCCTTTTTTTAAGCTCATACTTGGCCACATTTTTAATTGTCACTGGATCCAGAAGCACAGGATTTAAATTCAGTTTTATTTTTAGATGTCTCATTTATTCTAAACTCCTCCTATTCTCAGGTAAGTCATTCATCCTATCCCTCAGTTTCCCTCAGAGTCTAATTGACTGAACATTTTAATTTCAATCTGAGTTGCTCAGGTGCAGTCCCCTTTGCTGTAATTAAATGACTTTTTAGGACAAATATCTTTTAAACAAATGTTTTGAAGTATTTTGTTCAAAAAGGCAAGAACATTATTTTGACAATAACTCAAAGAATTTTTGTCATCTTTGGTTATCTTTCAGATTAAGATTCATACTCTTAAATTTTACGACTAACATTCATCGAATACAAAGTGCAAAATCCACTAGGTAAATATGTGCAAAAGCAGACTTTAAATTCTACATTGTTTATATTCTAAATATCAGTTTAAATACTGAGCAACAGCTTCTAAGTCCCAAAATATTTCAAGCCTTGTATTTGGAACTCTAATTGCTTTTTGTTTCTAACACTTTGCAGAGCTTTTTTTAAACATTTGCTCCACATCCGGGAGAACTGCAGATTTTACTGAACAGTAAAGATAACAGGATCATCTGACTTCATCAGCTGAAGATTTATGCAGATCGCTTAATAACAAGACCCACAGTTATATCTTGGCATCAACTGCACTGGAATATGAATGCTGATTACAGATAATTGATCCATGGAAATGCATTGAGTAAAAAATGAACACGCTAAGGGACTCACCAAGATACGCTCCAGGACACACTGTCTCTAAAATAATGGCCAAAGCAGTCCAAAGATTTAATGCAAAAATTGTTTGCCCAGCTCAAAAACTTGCCTATCGCAATTAAGAATTTATAAAAGACATTGCCTGCAATAGATGAGAGAGTTATTTTCCTCTAGTAACAATTAAAGAAAAACACTAATCTGTTGTTTACCAGTTTTTCACATCTCAATCACTCCATTCCTTCTAACTGCCTCTTCAACTATGCTTTATTCTCTCTGATCCCTGTGTGAACTTCACTAACATCCCTTACCTCCTAAGGCCAGCTCTTTCATTCTCTCTAGCCAGGACTCATGCAAGTTGCCCTAGGATTGCCTTTGTCACACATCTGAGTTTCTGTGTGATCTCTACAATGAGTTTCCTTGGTATCTCCTTATTTTCCTTCCAGCTACGCCTTTCTTCTTCCATTGCATCTTGTCAGTCTGGGTTTCTCAATTGTCTAATTTTGGGGTTGCTATCAAATGTCTCCACTATTTCTTACTATCCTACCTACTCCTTCTCCATCCCACTTGGGCTCATGCCCACTGCAACTGAGACTTGGAAGATGGGAAGGATGGATAGAACTGAATGTCGCATCAGTCACCACTGCTCTATTAAACATCTAGAAATAACAAAGCTGGTTGGCTGACATGCAACTTACACATTAGTTGTTTGTACAGATGCACATTTTTTCACGATTAACTAGGCTTAATTGACAACATTCTCTTGGTCGTTAATTTCTAATTAATTTCTCCCAAATGACCCATCATGCTCAAACCATGTCATGTGTGTTGCCAAATCATCCAGACACTAACATGCATATGCAGCCTAATATATATACACCATTTCCCAATGGATCACTGCTGTAGGCTACATTTTTTTCCTCCTTATGTTTATTACTTGAAGTAGCCATTTGACTCAAAGCTGAGTATTCAGACTCTAACAGGAAAGAGTGGTGGATCCAAGAGGGCTTTCCTCATTCAATTTAAAGATAATTGCTGACAGAATCTGTTGGACCTCAGGCAGTGGTACTAACCAGATGGCACATCAAAGAGCAGAGATTTTGTGGGCTCTTTAACTCAGGTTACTGAACAGGAAAAAGTGGATTGTTCCTTCATTTCTCAGGACACACACAGCAGCTGTTGACTGCTGTGTCATCAAGCTGATGACTGGATAATAGAAAACTTTTTTTTATTAAAATTAATTTAATTAATCTAGATTTATCAATTGCAGAGATGGAATAATCTTTTCTGAGTCTGAGAATGATTTTACTAGCCACTCATGCACTGAGAGAACTGAGGAAGAGGTGTGCAAGATCTCTGGTGTGGTAATATCAGATCTAGAAGATTTACTAAATGCAAAGCAAGCACAGTAAAGTATCGATCACTGCTCCATACAGTTCATACAGGTGCTCACAGGAAGAGCCAAAGGCCACATCTGAATTGATAAATTATATGTATCTGGAAAGCATAAGCCAGACACAAATCTGCTCCACACTTTTACACCAGGATGAATTTGTTCAGTAGATAATTTCTTGGTTTTGGTGTGTTCATGGTTGGTCAAATGAGCCCAATTTTGGGATGCTAAAACTTGAACGTTCTCCCAACCTGTGGTTGGTCCTGAGATTTATATATGCACATGGGTTAACATGTAACTAGTTACAACTTTTCCAGACCTGTTCTTTTAAGAGAAGTTGTTCTTTAATTGTTCTTCTAACTTCTCAACCCATTTCCATTGCCATGTGACATCAGCTCTCCATCCAATCCCAATCCCAATCCAGCCCAACAACAGCTCTCTCAGAAAGTTAAACCACCAAACACTCTGAGTAATGTCTGGTTCTCTTTCACGTGAATGCTCCCTTGTAAAATGGATACTGATTCACGCCTGGGGATCCAAAGTCCTCTAGAACAATAGAAAATTAGTCAAGAGTACAATTATGTAAATGATTAATTTAGCTTTTGCTGCTTTCTGTGAATAATAATAAACTGTAAAAAAAAATAGAACCATTCAACTTTACAAATTGGTCTTAGGTTTTTAAAATTAGAAGAGTTTAGCTGCCCACAAATTATTATCTGCATGTCTTTCTTTCAGCACTAGATAGTCCTAGCTCACTCCTTTATCTGCTTGGTGGTACATTTATGCTATATATAAAAATGGCTGAATATATTTGAGATCACGGAGTTCAAAATTTACTTAATGCACATTTTCTCCAGTTTTCCATTTTAAGAGAAAAGAAATTAAGCCCTTGTTTGCTAATAGAATTCCAGTCTCTCAGTATTTATTCCACACGAGTTTGGTTTTTTGTTTTTTTTTTTTTCTTTGAAAGATTAGATTTATGGAAATTAAACAAACATGTTTTGAGATCTTAAAAAGTACTTTCATTAAACATTCCTGTGAACGCTACAGAATTCCTACAAAGATCTGCAAAATAAAGTTCAGACTTAGTGAAGGCAAAATTGTTCTGCACACCAGTGAGAAATGCATTTTTCACTATTCTTATATCTAGCATTTATTCTAGTGTCTCAAGAAAAGAACTGTGAATAGAAACATGGTTGTAGCAAGGCAAATAAACTTTAAGAGTTTAGTTTAACAAACAAGCAACAACAAAAAAAAACCTGAATCTCTTTATTTTGAACTGTTCTCTGAACTTAAAATGCAGGTCCAGAATTCTGCAGCTCTCAGCTCACCTGTCAAAAAGTTGACCCTGTCAGCTGATCCTTCTCATTTACCTTCTTGTCGAGCATGTTCTTACTTTGAATACAGTAGTACAGATAGAAAATGGTTCTGCTTCTGATTCAGTGCTTTGGTTAAATTCAAAGCAAGGATTCTCAGTCCAGTTTCTCTCTGAAAGAATCACAGAATCATAGAATGGCTTGGGTTGGAAGGGACCTCAAGGATCATCAAGTTCCAATCCGCCTGCTGCAGGCAGGGATGCCAACTGCTGGATCGAGTACTAGATCAGATTGCCCAGGGCCCCATCCAACTTGGTCTTAAACACCTCCAGGGATGGGGCAACCTGTTCCAGCACTTCACCACTCTCTCAATAAAAACTTTCCCCAGCATTTAATTTAAATCTCCCCTCCTTTAAGTTAAAAACATTCCCCTTTGTCCTATCACTATCTACCTGTGTAAAAAATTCTTCCCCCTCATGTTTATAAACTCTCTTTAAGTATTGGAAGGCCGCAAGGTCTTCCCACAGCCCTCTCTTTTCCAGGATGAACAAGTCCAGCTCCTTCAGCCTATATTCATAAGACGTGTTGCAGCCCTGTTAATAGTGCAGTTTAGTTTCAAAAGGACCATCAGATCCTAATACTTAAACTGATTGTGAACCTGTGTAATCACAGCACTGCATGTTTACAGCATGGCTGCTTGGCTGCAAGTCATCATTTTCACAGCTCTTCAGCATTAATAGTGACTGAAGTCACTGTGTTGGCCAGAGTATGGGATTATAGTTGACCACAGCATAAATTTCTCAGCTTTCATTGGAAGGCAAAGGAAAAACAAGCATGAGCTTCCCTTTGCTTTGGGACACCTTGCAGCAATCACTCGCTGTCAGAGTAATTGCACAGGGCAGACCTTTCACTTGGTTGCCTCATTTGTTTTCCCGCAGTGCTGTGCCTGAACACAACGATTACCTGATAAATTGGCCAGCTTCCCTGTCTGAATAATGATCCAAGGCTTTTACAGTCTCTTGTCATAAAAACCCAGCTTTGCTGAAAGAACTGGCTGCTGTCAGGAAATGCAGCCCCGAGGCTGCGTGTGTGGCTCTGGCAGGAGTTACAGCTCTGAATCCACGGCCAACTCAGCCACCTTTGTCACTCTCTCACAAGCCAGACAGCCACACACACGGACCCTCAGCTGGCTTGCTGGTCACCTGGATGGGTGAAGTGAATATGTGTGTGAAATTAATTACATTTTAAACTAAGTTCTTATGTTTGCATCTAGAAACACAAAGCAGTATAGCTCTTTTATTGGCACTGAACACTGACTGAAGGAACTATGGCACTGGTCTGGGTGCTGGCATTTCCTTGGGGGCCTTTTAATAAGGTCACCGGCACCTGAGCAGCAACTATCCAGGTTGGAAAAAGAGAAGGCAGCAAAGCTCAGCCAAGGCAGGGAACATCTATACAAAATCATTGTTAAACATTGACTTTCAAGCTGGCATTTCCAGGACTTGAAAGAATAAAGGAGATGATACTGTGTCAATATTGGAGTGCAGAGACAATGGCACTTTTATTGCCAGGTACGTTAAACCGATCTTCCGGCCCATCTGGGTCTACACTAGAAATGTGCTGATTAATTTCAGGTTCATCTTTCATTACTCATCGGTGATACAGTTTTTTTCTTTGTAGGAAAGAACAAATGTATAGGGAAGATTTGACTTTTTTTATTTGTACCAACCGATATTTTTCAGCTCAGAATAGCCCCAGGCCTTTTCATATTAAAAAAAAAAACAAAAAACCATAAACAAAAAACCACCACCAACAAAAAAATACTTTTACAACTTAGAAAAAAGAAAAAAAGAGAGAGAGGGTGACGAAGGTAATGAATAGTTTCATTCTTTAAGAAAGCATGCTTTCAAGTTCCAATACACAATCACAACCTTTTAAAATTTTCATACGGGGAAAGAACTACCACAGATGCTTCCTCATACACCCACTTTTCTTCATAGGAATGTGGGATTTTTGTTTTGGTACACTGAACCTGGTACATCACTACCTGCCCTGGTCTCCAGAGTACTTGAAACCTACTAATGGAGTAGATATATAGAAAGCTGAGGGACAGGAACAGTCACACTAAATAAGACTACTGACCCATCTAACACTGTATTTTGGCTTGATTAAACCATATCAGGTGCTGCAGAGAGATGTGCAGTGTGCTTTCCTAGCAGAATTGCATATTGACTTGCCAGCCTAAGAAATTTCTCCACAGCACCAATCAACCTGATTCCTGCTCTTGTCATGGGACTGGAGGACAGAGACCTGCTCCCTTTCCCCTCACTTCCACTTGCACATCAGTTATGCCTTATAAGTTGGAATTTTAACAAATCTGGATATGTAATTTTATGTGTTTAAAAAAAAAAAAAAAAGCTTTATAATGGTCTTTGTATGGAATATAATGCACAGTGGTGACACGCAAAAAGAATTGCTTTTTCTGAAGACAAACCATCAGTTGATCAGTTGGGTTATCAGTGATCCATGTCCTGCAGCCTTCAGCACTCTGCAAGCACCTGAGCAGCCGCAGCCTCTCATCCAGGTCCACCCAGCAGCCTGCATCCAACTGGGGTTCCCCCAGAAAGTCTCTTCCAAAAGCCATGATGTGGGAATATGGGAGCACCACTGTTGACAAAGACCTGCGAGATCAAGTGAAGTCTTGCTGGAGAACTGTTTCATAAAGCTTCTGTTTCTAATAAAATCTGTGGGAAGAGGAGACGTCCTTTGTAGTGGGACAACAAATTCAAAAGTTGTGGCACAGAGGTTTGACAGATCTTTGGACAGGAAGGCCATATGAGTGAGCAGACAAGCCTCATGAAAATCAGACATGTCCTGCATGGAAAAAAAATAATTGATTTTAAATAACTACATCATTTTCAGCTAGCTCAGAGTTAAGTGATTGTATCTGGAACTGTTTTGGAAAAAGTGTATGAACAGTTGGATATAGGTGGAAGAATTCTGTGTAGACAAAACCTAGACCATGCATCTCACAGATCTAATCTTTAATTTTTTGTCCTCTAAAGAAAAGTTTATATATTACAAAGCTGTGCATTGAGGCAGAGATGAACAGACAGACTAATCAGGGCCAAGTTATCTGCAGGTTCATAAATTTTTGCTTCAATGACACTTCTGTTCAGAAAAATACATAAGGAAATTTGGAAGTCTGTGTTTCTGATTGATCTTAATTGATCTGATACGTTAATCTTTCCTCCCTCAGTGATTATTGTCTTCTACTTCTAAGGGCCGATTCTTCGCCTGGAGTTGCAAAACATTTTTCCCACAATTTGCAGCTGCAAGCTTCTTGAGGACAAGAGTCACAGTGTTTGCAAAATATCCTGTACTTTTATATCATTTTCCAAGGGATTTGCATGTCTAATTAGCAGTTTGCCTGGCTTATGGTGCTGTAATTTTTAAGTCTTCCAGAATTCATAAACTAAAAGCACATTAATTCCTGCTCAGCTCACTCTTCATCATTATTAAAGTGCTTTCATGGAGCCTTCAGTAAGATGAGGACACTCTCACCCCAGTACTATTACTAAACCTCAGGAAAACTGGCCTAGAGGAGCCCATTAGTTACACAAAAAAGAGGATAGGTACATGGGACTGATGAACGTTATGTGATGCTTAGGCTGCTTCCTAGCATTTTCTTTCCAATTTGATGTTATTGTGCCTGGAGCCTGCTGGTTTTCAGTTCCAAAAGAAAGTGTACAATGTGCTGGCAAGGCTTGCATAGGGTTCCTTTCACAGCCTTCCCATTAATTCTCTGCCTTCCTCTGGAGCAACTGATTTTTAAGGTGAGCAAGAGAATGGCTCAGTCTTTATCTTAGGCACTCAGAGAGTGCAAAAAACAGTGCTGGTTTTGGAGATGCTCTGTACAAGACAAACTAAGCATCCCTGCTGAAGGACATGAAGCACTGGCTACTCCTAAAATTTTGTCAATTTGTGAGAGAATCCACAGGCTTAGAAAGCACAAGCTAGCACCACCTTGAGCAAAGCCGAGTGACGAGACTTCCAAAACATGCAGCGTTTCATAATCTCATCCCTCATGCTGAGCTTCTCCCTGGGTGAAGGAGTGAAAACATCACAAAAGCAACTCACCCAGAGACACGCTGCCAAGAAGCTTTCTTTTACAA